ACGGGTTGGCGAACCTTGCATTTTCTCTTCCGTTTGGTTTTCATAGTTTTGATGAGGCACCATTGGAGGTCGCCGATGTATTGCAGGAGGATGTTACTGGGCCTCCCCGGCCACGATTACATCTGTTATAGACTGAAAGTTCATTTTGAATAAAGTTTGGGAGTTTGCTCCCATAGTTCTACCCAAAAAAAAGTGACAATTGTTTGTTTTAGCCATCGTCTTATTTGCTTTTCTAATTTTCATATGCTGCAACTTGCTTTTCTAATTTGCATATGCTGCAACAGAGATATAGGAGTTTATCTTATTTAACTCTTGTGTACATTAAAAGGTAATGATATTCAGATTTTTCTACCTCTGACAATAAGACTAAAACCATGTACAATGGTTTCAACACCCTACCTACTTTCAACACTTTTATTTTTCCCTTTTAACATTTACATCATCTTCTCTTTCTTCCATCTCATTTATTCAACATTCACTTCACTCTACACTTTTACAATTGTTTGTTTTAAAAAATTCAACACCATACCCCACAATTTTTAATTCATATTATATATTTTTCTTATAATATAATAATTATTAATAATTAATTTCAAAAACTATCATAACATAAATTTTAATAATATTTATTTTAAATTATTATAATTATCTTAATTTTTAAATAATACAAAAATAAATATTAATAAAACAACTAAAATGGAGAATATATTCATTTTTAAGTTAGATATTTACCTAATTTTACTTTTAAAATACAAAAATTAATATTATTAAAACAAATAAAATTAAGAAACTTTAAATACATATGATACAAAGACACATTATTAAAAAAAATAAAGATTAAAACACTAAAATAGTTGATTATACTAAAAAATAACATTTTTTATGTATTCAAATGAAATGAGAGTAGTCTCTATTTATAGATATAGAAAAATCTTGAGTTTTGATACAGTTTTTTTTTATTTGTTTAAAAAGTTTTATTATATAATAAATATGTTTGAATTATTGGATATAGATAAAAAAAAAACAAAACAAATCTACACTGCCAATCAAAACACAGCATTTAAGTCTTATCCAGATTAAAAAAAAAAAAATCATGACAGCTTACCATTTTTGTCCAATTAGGAAGCGTCATGAAGCAGTTGTGGCCCACAAAAAAATGTTTCAACCGTCGGCTGTTTAGGTCACATAGATAAGCTCAATTTATCAACACATTTATTGCAAGTGTTTCAATTGTTTTAAAGTGTTTTCAACACCCATATTGTGGATGGTCTAAAACACGTCTAGTAGTGGAAGCGTTTTTTTTTCTTTGAGTTAAGCATATCCTTGGTGTTTTTTTTTCTTTTATTACACATACTCTTCAAACTTTAGAAGTAGATGTTGCATGTGGGTAACATCTTTTCTCTTGTAATGGCCTCATTCCTCATCAATCTCGTGAACAACTCAGTAGAAGCATCCTCTCCCTTGTAATTTTACTCTCTTGCTTCTTCATTATCCTTCTTCTCCTTCATTCTCATCAGCCACTTCCTCTATTTTCTCTCATGTACCACTCTTCTCTTTACTCTCCTCATTCTTTTCTGTATCACCACAGTCTTCTTCTCATCAGATTCACTTTCTTCCGTACCACTCTTCTCTTTACTCTCCCCACTCTCTTCTGAACCACCATTTTCTTTCTTCTCCTCAATCTCACTATTTTCTGTACCACTCTTTTGTTTACTCTCCTCGCGTTCTTCTGCACCGCCATTGTCATTCTTAGCCCCAACCTCGCTGCTTTCTTCATTGTTTCCTTCACTTCACTTTCCTTGTCCTTATTCTCATCCCTTCTTTCCTCTATAACCTCATCTTTCTTATCATCTCGTCTCATTCTCTTTTTCATTAAAATTCTCAACACCCCTGCATCATTCTTCATCCTCACCGACAATACCCGGGTTCAGATATTTCCTCCTGAGCTTCAGCATCCCTTTCTCACAAACCACAACCTTCGAGGTTTTTCCAAACGAAAGCTTTCTTCTTTATGAGAATGCTTCACAATCAACTGCCGTTCAACACTTCATCTAATTATCAAGAGAATTTTTGAAACAGTTACATAATATTGTTGTTCGACCACTATTTTTAAAACTACATAAAACTTTTTGTTTAGACCTTCTGCTTTTCTTTTTTTTTTACGAAGAGCACAGATTTTTCCAAACTAAGTGTTTACAATTAAAAAAAAAGCTAGGGGTCATCTCCTATAGAAAATACCTTGGCTCTATCACCATGGATCATGCATGCAGCTACATCATAAGCTCTTTATTCATCCGGAGCGGTGTTGAATGCTCCAAGGAATTATGGAGAGCCTTTTCTATGATCACATAACTCATCGGCCACTTTTCCCTAGGGCGTAGCCTAATCCTATGTATTGATTCTTTCTCTTTCTCTTGGCATATTTCTCATTGGATTTTACCATTTCTATACCGAAAATTAAACCTTAAGGTGTAAAATCAGACAATATCAATCAATCATATTATAGTGTCAAAAAAGAAGGTCAAAAATATGCATAAACAAAACTGCATGTATAGCGAGCAATATGACATGGATATGGAGATCAAAATATAATCAACATGCTAATAAACAGGTAAAATCAACCATTTTCGTAGACTTGAAACAATAATTGACGCTATTCACTGAGTAAAAGCCTCTGAAAACAAAGATCTAAAAATATAAAATCATTTCAAAAAGGTTTGATAAATAACTCTTCTACTAATTGATATAGTATGTCAATATTGCAAGAAATAAAGAAAGGCTAATGAGCATATAGTAAAACAATAAATTTATAAAAAAAAAAATTGAATGTGAATTACTAGTATGTGTTGTACCTCCGACACTGAAAGAGTTTGTTACCATTAACTGGTACCAGTTCATCAGAATAAACAATGCAGTCAAATAAACCACGTCTGGCGGGATGCTGTCTAGACCAAAGAACTGTGTATTTGACACAAGCCCATCACAAACCATGGATCATATCTTCTGTACATAATATAATCTGGGGTTACACCAAACAACGACATTAGTCTAACATCATTTTAAAAGAGAGAGAGAGAGTTTTTCTGGCTTGCCTTCATGAATTCGCCATTTAGCTCCTTAGAAGCTCAATTTACAGGAAACCACACCAATACAAAACATGCAAACAACATATGAAAACAGTGATACACATGTGGATGGATACCAAGAAAAAAGCTTCACCTAAGGAACCTTTGTCCGCTTCCTCTGGTTTCTGACTTGTCAGCATCAACCACAGCTTCAAATGTAATCACCAACTTAATCCTAATCAATGAAAATGAAAACTTATGATGAAACATATAAAACTTTTAGAAGAACAGACATGTAAACCCTGATCTGCGGTCGTAGACGTCACCGAACCTTGGAACTGTGAATTTTGTTTGTATCAAGACAGTTTTCATCATTAATTTTCTGATCCAAAGTTCTATGCTCCCAGACTCCAGCTTCTCATCTACCACTTGAAATCGATTTTGATTTTCAATCATCAACACATATGCGGAAAATGATCAAATCTCTGATAATTTTAACAATTTATATTTGTTTCTTTCTACTAACTCTAATGATGCAAGATTGAAATTAATATATGAAGTGGGTACTCAGGGAATAACTTAGCTAGAATCTCAACTAATTTGCCACGGTGAAGTGCGCTCTCAGCGAGGAGATAACGTCCAGAGGATTGATGGTGCCTCGTAGACCAGAACATGAGCCATTTCGACATCACGAACATCCACATAAGCATGAGCCAAATTAGTCTAAGTCTTAGCCGAGCCGGTTAGATACTTGAAGACGTGGAATAGACTAGCGTTGATCGTAGACTGTAACGGCGGTCCAAGAACCAGCACCGGATTTAAAACCACCATGTCAACAACTTTCTCCTCTGCCGTCTCCCACACAGCTTGCTCCGCCACCATTTTGCCGTAACAATACCAATTTTATATGACTAAAGATTTATATGGAATTTCAGTGTGAGAAAGCAAAAATAATCCATTAAAGAGATTAAAGGGAGCAAAGAAGTTGAGAGTATATTGATGAAATTAGTGAAACGGAAATGAAGAAGAGGGAGAGCAGAGATTCACGATTCATCGAAGCAAAATTAGGGTTTGAATGAAATGAGAAAGGGATTTTGGTGTCGGTGAGGAAAAGAGACCACACTTTCAACGATTTGGGCTTCGTGGGCCATATTGAAATTAAAAGAAATAGACCGTGAATAATTAAAACCCAACAGCTAAAAACACCCGCTGACGTGGCAAAACGCTATTACTTCATTGGTCGAATATTTTTGATGATATGGATAGTCTCATGGAGCTTGTTATTCTCCTTTTATTTGTGTGATGTTATTTGGAAAATTTGAAAAAATAAAACTAAAAAAATAGTATTTGAATTAATGTTTTTAATTCTTTAAGAGTAGCAGTGTAATCAACCATTGTGAGAGTTAACGTAAGCGCGACACATAGGTAACTGACTTCTCAAATATTATTGTAGAGATTAGATACATTTTGGTATATCATTATATTCTATTTTCAGAAAACAATATAATTCAAAATACAAGGGTTATATACTTAACAAATCAAATAGGTTCTGCGCGTAACGCAGATTAATCCCTAGAAAAAATAAAAGGATTGAATATCAACAGATTATTTGGAATTAGAGTTTAATAAAAATCAATGATTGAAAAGATGGTAATTCATTGTCAAAACCATATCGGTTCAACTGAATTATCAAACCCGAGAATTCAGAATTTGCAACACATTCATTTCAGAACATTGATCACATATAAAGAAGACCAAAACAAATCCACCAAAGGCAGATAGGAAAGATTGAAGGTAGGCGTTCCTCGGAAGGTTGGAGGAAGAGATAGAATGCTAGGATGCATCTACAGGTGAGCAAAGAGGTAACGAAGGAAAAAAATATAAAAATGCAGGTGAGTTATATTATTTGGATGGCATCTCATCTGATAAATAGTCTCATTTGACCATATTTCTGTTGTCTTCTTCTACTTCAAGAAACTGCCTTAGGAGTTCAATTGTTTTACGGTAGAGGTTCATATCGACTCCATCCACATTTCTCCCGGTTCGAGCCTGCAAGATAGCCTAACGAAATGGTATACAGCTTAATTTTTAAATATGTTAAGCTACCAAACATAATAATCGTATAACAGAGAGATTATCCGTCTGATACACAAAGCTCAGCCTGAAATGTGTACCCAGTGTCTACCTCTAACATAAACTAACAATATTTATTATTCCCATGATGTTCAATTTGAATGGAGAAGTTTCCAGCCTACCTGGTGCTCATAAATATCAGAACATTCATAGTATAATACTTAAATTCTCTAACTGAGACGGTGAAATTACATCTTGAGGGCCAAAGACAAGATAACTAAATTTAGTGAGGATTTCTCAGCATTCATGAAAGGCCAAAACCTTTTTAGGAAAGCAAAGTTCATAATTACGCCAAACCGGAAACACATGTTGAAATGCAGGCACAAAAATTTAAAAAGAATCAACCTCATTATTGGGCTCAGTGTGGAGCTCTCGATGAGCTGGTAAAAAGAGCCAATCCAGAAACTAACATCTCGTAAGTGTTGAGTGTTGATTTTGAGACTCTTCTCTCCATCTTCAATAACACCTACAGCTGTGTCAATTGAATATCCTCTCAGCCTGCCAAAAACAAAAGGACAAAAGCATTATTTTAAGACAATGCATCAAGAAAAGCTTGCACTGGTAAAAAAGGATGTCAGATTCTGAAATCAGAAAATCAACTTAGGAGAAAAGCAAAAACAAAAGCATACAATCTTGTAACTCTGAGTGAGAGAGCTTCCTTGAAAAACGGGGAAAAAGGGTACAACTCTTGTAGACTGATGGGAGCGCCAGATTCAATTTGAGAATTTGCCATCGATCTAACAAACACAAAACCTTCAAATATATAGAAATAGAATGTCATATAATCTAAATATATGAGTGTTTGAACTTCAATTACCGCACATAGGCAATTCAGCGAACAAGTGGTGTGCATAAACAAACAAACAAAAAAGGGAAAGACAGCATACGTTGATCGAGTACCTGATCCTCTTTCTGGGTTATTACAATGAAACTTTGAATTTACTATCGCTGTTCCTCGTACACTTAGAGAGACAATACGCGTATAGGGTTTCTGGAGGAGAAAAATAACCTAAACAATTTTGTTTTGGGAAATATGCCAATTTGAAACAACTTATCTTAGCTATTGTCTCTTTAGAACAAAATCTATTTTTTGTCAATCTTGACTATGACTACCCTTGTACTTTAAAAATATTTATATCAATTAATTGACATACCAAAAAATAATAAAAAATAAAAAACATGATCTTAACATACATGAGCACTTATGAAAAATATAGTAGTGAAAAAATTAGACTTGAAAGAGCAACTTCTATAATGCCCTAAAGTTGGTAGAAGATGTGTCCACCATCTACAGTGAGTTAGATGGTTGAATCTTCAAAAGAAATTACGATCTAAAAGAGATTAGAAAACGCAATATGCCAAACGTACTTGTATTTATCTTCGTAAAGAATACAATCTAATAATTGCACTGTTCTCTAAAAGATGGTAGATCACATCGTCTTCATTTTAGTCTTTTTTCTACTGTCGGTATGTCTACATTCTACTATTTTCTATGTCAACTACTACCAGCAAAATGTTCAATCTACGATGTTTCTATATCTTTCCACCGGTAGAATTTGGTTTCTGCCGGATTAGTTTCAAAATTTCTGAAAATTTAGCCCTTAAACGGTTAGTAAATATTTGGAAGATTTTTAAAATATTTTCTTCCTAAACGAGCTCTTCATCGTTTTTTTCTCCTTTTTGAATCTACTTTGCTAAGATGCATATCTACTCTTTTTGTGGTTTGTAGAACTCCTCGGTTAGAAAGGAATGGAGTTTTCTTGCTGATAAAACAAAAGGAGGTAGGTTACTTAATTTGGATGGAAGTTCAACCTTTGAGAAGTTAAAGTTGATGATTTGTGAGGACTTTGGAATCGATCCAACCCCTGGTCAATCTCGAGTTGAGCTACTTACCTTCTGATCTGATTAATACCCTCGAGTCATCTCCGGTTATCATCAGCATTGACAGGCAAGTTAATAATCTTCTAACCTATGTAAGGAGAAAACCTGCCACACAGTTGTGTGTGTGTGTTTTCAGTCAAAGAATGAGAATCCGAATAGGGAGGCACATTTAAACTTGAATAACCAAGCATCTGATTCGCCTAGCAGAAAGGAAGATGTTACCTCGGATGAAAATTCAGATGTCAATGCTGCTGAAAGCTATTTCGAAGAACAACACAGTGAAGAGGATGAAAGTGATGATGTAAAGATGTGTGACATAAAGGAAAAAAAGAAGATAATCTACGATTTGCTTTCTTGGATGTTGTGAAAGAGGACCAACATTTTAGTAGTAAAATGTTATTGAAGACAACTTTCAAAATCTGTGCACTACAAAAAATATGTATATTAGTAGCATATCACAATAGCACAAATTCACGAACTGCTACTAAAATGGTTAATGGAAATGGCTAATTTTATCATAGCATTAAATCAAGGCTAGGCATGGTTTTCATTAAGCGGGGAAGATAAAAAGTCCTTTTTGGAATCAATTTTTTTGGTAACATATTGGAACACCGAGACTTATTGAAATTTTAGGTTTTGCCGCAAAAAAAAATTGGTTTTGTGGGAATTGTTTTATTTGCCTAAGTAATTTCATCCTCTCAACAAAAAAATAACTCATCTATTTCTTGCCTCAGGAAAAGAAAAACACAAACTCAATCATTTTCCACTCGTGTACGATCTCAAATCGTCTTCATCACTAGAACCGTCACAAGAGACCAGCACAACTCTGGCTAATTTCTCCACCGCTTCCGTTCTCAATCCCTGATGCCTATCTCCGAGAATCCCAAATCCTTTTACTCAGCTTCATCGCAACACCCCTCTGGGCTAAGATTCAGATAGCTCAAGGATTCGACGAGGAAATTAACAGAGTAGCGGAGGATCCGAGGAGGGAAAGCCCCAACGTAGTTAGAGCTTGAGCTTGTGGTTGGTTGATGCTAAATCGGAACTTGTAGAGATGTGTCAAGAGTTTTCTTCAAAGGATAACATGGGTAGAGATGCTATCGGAGCTATGATTGAAGATCTGGGTTTGAATGGTAAGCTCAAGGATCAGTGATTGGGGTTAGTTAACCATCTCCGAGAAGCTATCTCTTGGCAAGATAAAGGTTTGTGCTTTGAATTGATTTGTTTGATAGATTAAAGTCTCGATTTTTATCTATCTTAAGGTGGATTTTGTTTGATAAGTTTTTGTCCCTAATGTTTGTCTATATATGGAAGAATCAAAGAAGAATGCAGTTGTATTCACTACCTATACATCTCCAGGTATGACTATTCTTACAATCTTTACTAACAACCTTAGGAGTCATGACAATCTTTGTCACTGTATTTTTTTGCTGCAGCAAGTAATGTTTCTATGGGACATCATTGGGTTAATAGTGATATGAAGGTATCTGCTAGTGCTATTAATGCAAGTGGAACCCATTTCGTTAAGGATTCATCACATTTAAGAATGGAGAAAGCACAATTTATCTTTGTAGAAAGTTTTTCAATAGCTAAAGACTCCAACGTTGCTTTTTCTGTACAAAGTTGATTTTTTTTTTTAAAAATTGTGTTGTTGCAGAAAAGTGTTTTGCTTGTTTACTAATTTGTGATGCCTGAATAGTTAGTTTCTCGTATATATTTTATCTTTTGGTTTAGAGCTGACTCAGGGACAACCTAGGGTGTGAAATTGTAAATGCTTTACTTTCAGAATGTACAGAAACATGTTCTGCTTTTATCTTAGATGCCATTTTCCTTCTCCTTTGTTTATGATTACATATACCAATGAGAGAGAGGTAAGAAGTAGCTCTATGTGCGTACAGAAAGCATTACGTGTGTGTGTTTGTTATATATACTAAGCATAGAAGGTTCTTTTGGAGACACGGGTTATATATTATATGCTGGAGACTATCTCAGAATGGTTTATGGTTTGTAACTGGATAGTATTCAGAAGCATATGCACGTTATAGTTTCCATAGAGGTTACAAATGCCAGATTGCTATGCAAGTAAAGGTTTGATTTATGATATCACTCAAATTACTCTAAGGAGTAAATTACTCTCATCAAAAGAGGTTCAGTTGTAGTAGTTAGGGATCGAATCCATAGAGACTCTAGGATTACACAACAGATTATTTTGGTATTCGAAATATAGCTAGACAGCAGGACTTAAACATTAACTTAAAAGATGAACAAGTAATTGCTCAATTGATTGATTTATTTGCTAAGAGGAAAGAAGGTAGTTAGATTTAGGTATTTTCTCAGGTATGACAAACATGCAAGTTATAAAGGGTTTTTATTGTTCAAAGTTCAGGATTCAAACTTTTTAAGGTTTTAAACCTAAAGGATTAACTCACACTGGCCTCTGGTCAACAACTATCGTTCGATGACCATGAGAAGGTATCGATCGATATTTAGTCGAATCATCGATCGATTACTCATTGCTATATCGGTCGATAAGATGATTACCTCGTCGATCGATATTGACTCCAGCAAGTTATAATAACAAGTTTGGAACGGTTCTCTAGTCTTCACTAAATTTACTCAGATTTCAGGTAATTGCCAAGTTCTCACTTGTCCATATTGATCCTGAAATCGAAAATAAGGGTGATCAATCCTTATCATTAGCATTTATGATGACTAGATGAAGAACTATATTTTAAACACCCCAGTAATGGTTTATTCAATGCATGAGTCAACCTTAATGAGAAACCTAAATCTAACAAGAGAGACTACTCGAACATATTCATGAGAGACAAAGTCATAATGGTTTGAATATTGCTTCAAAGATAGTAATAGCAAGGGAAATAGTAAGTAAAGCAACAGAGTTCAAGATCTTCTCTGGATTTGTAGTTCAGATCTCTCTCTCTACTCCTAAGCTCTTCTCAAGGTGTAGCTAGATGCCTCTCTCCAAATTAGGTATAGAAAGATCTCTCTAGCAAAATCTGTCTAAACTAGTACAAAACCCTCATAATATAGCCTAACAGGCGGCCAGAGACTTAAAGTGTAATTATTAAGACTCTTGTGAAGCAATTAGAGCTTCTAATCTTTATTTAATCACTTGGAAGACTTCTGTATCGATCGATGGTGAATGTGTTCAATCGATCGATACGGGTAATGTTTCATCGGTCGATTGTTCTCGACGTGCATCGGTCGATATCTTTAACATCGTTTTGCTCATATCTTCATAAAGTTTTCATTTTAGCTCCACAATGGCTAGTTTACACCAATGAGTACCTGAACCTGTAAAAGTTGTAAAAAGACACTAGAAGTATGCTTTTATTTCCAAAAACATATATAAATCATTTGAAAGTGGGTAAAATCCATGACATATCAACTCCCCCAGACTTATTCTTTTGCTTGTTCTCAAACAAATAATAAGCAAATAATAGGACATTGGTCTAGAAAAGGTTTAAAAGGCGGAAGCTCCTATAATTCTAAAATTAGAACCGTCACCTCTTTACTTATCGCAAGCCATTTTATATATCTATCAATTTCAAAAGTACATCACACCATATCCTAGCTTAGCAACCAAATTCAACAAGCCAACAACTTAATGATCATGTTTGTCTATCCCCTCTGTTGGTTTCATATATGCATAAATTAAAAGTGCAGGCTTTACCTTGGGAATATCGATCAAAGGACACGTGAACTCTTACCCCAACAGATATCTGAGTAAATAGGTAATTTTATTATGGTTTCTTTTCTCCCCATATCTTCATTCTCTGAATCCCAAATTTTCTTTTATGTCAATCCCAATGAACAACAAATGCTCATCTT